TCTGCTGCCCTAGCTTTAATAAAGCTGTTATTTAAAAATGTATGAGTGTTCTGGAATTATGAGTGATTAGAAAAATATTAAGCTTCCTGTTATATAGTAGTCCACCCTTGTCTGTCACTTCATTTTCCAGTTTCAGTTACCCATGGTCAACTGTGGTTTGAAAATATTAAATGGAAAATTCCAGAAATAAATAATTCATCAGTTTTAAATTATGCACCGTTCTGAGGCATGTGATGAAACCTCACATCGCCTGGCTCCACCCCTCCCGGGATGCGAGTCATCCTTGTCCAGCACATCCAAGCTGTATTTGCTACCCCATTAGTCACTTAGTAGCTGTCTCGACTGTCAGATCCACTGTCACGTGTCTCAGTACTTGTGTTCAAGTAACTTATTTTACTTAATAATGGCCCCAAAGGACAACAGTAGTGGTGCCAGCATTTTGGATGTGCCAAAGAGAAGCTGTAAAGTGCTTCCTTTAAGTGAAAAGGCGAAAGTTCATGACTTAATAAGACAAGAAAAAAACTGTATTCTGAGGTTGCTAGTATCTACATTAAGAATACAACTTTTTTTCCATGAAATTTAAAAGGGGGAAAAATGGTGCTACTTTTGGTGCTTATCTCAAACTATAAAAGCTACAGCCACAGAGCAGGATAAGTGCTTAGTTAAGACGGAAAAGGCATTACATTTGTGAGTGGAAGTTGTGAAGGGAAACTAGTGTGATTGTCAGTAATCAGTTTGGGTATGATCCACTGTTTGACTGGCATCTACTGGCAGTCTTGGAAGTCATCCCCCTTGAATAAGGGAGGACTATTGTAATAAGAATGTATGTACTCTGTCAAAATTTAAGAAAATATGAGAAATTACAAAAAAAATTTTAAACAATCCTTCATCCTACCACCAAAAGACCACACTGTTAATAATGCTTTCCAGTCTTCTCACTGCATACCTGTGAAGTCACGATGAGAGCAGGTGCAGGCCAGATGTGAACACAGCACTGCCCAGGTGTGCCTCACTGGCCCACTTGCTTGTACAACTGTTCATGACAAGATAGCATGGGCCTAGAATCTAAGAAAGAGCATGCAAAGATATACCACCTTCCAAATCAACAACATATGTTTAAGCAATTCCTAGCTGAGGGTCAGTGCAGTGGTCCAGAGTATCCGGTCCTGGGTTCAAGGTTATGCTCTGCCACTTAATAGCTCTGATTCTGGATGAGACACTTAACCTTTTGAGCCCATTTCCTCCTCCATAAACTGGGAATGCTAAGATTACCTTCCTCTCAGGCTGATCCATGTGAAGTGGTTAACATTGCCTGTCCTGCAGGAGGCTTCTATTAATGTAGGGTTTTAATATATGCACAGGGATGTCATATAAACAACTTAAAATAACAGCTATCATTTATGGAACCATACAGTACTAAACTGCCTTCTGTGTAATACCTCATGCAATTTTTACAATAATCCAATGAAGTATAATCCCCATTTTTACAGATGAGAAAACTGAAGTTTGGTGGGTGTTAAGAGACATGCCCAAGGTCACATTAGAAGTAAGGTGGAATCAGGCTTTGAACTCAGGAAGTTTGACTTCTACGCACTCCTTAACCTCTCACACTTGAATGTTTACTTGATAAATTTTGACATTTAGCACCCCTGAGCTGGTGTGATTGGTTTGTTATTATTATTTTTAGAGACAGGATCATATGCTGTCATCCATGCTAGAGTGCAGTGTTGCAGCCATAGCTTACTGCCACCTCAAACTCCTGGGCTCAAGTGATCCTCCCACCTCAGCCTCCAGAGTAGCTAGGACTACAGACATCTGCCACCATACCTTGGCTAGTTATAAAATTATTTGTAGAGACATTGGTCTTGAAATCCTAGCCTAAAGTGATCTCATTGGGATTACCTTCTCACTGGGATTACAGACATGAGCCCCCATGCCTGACATGATTGGTTTTCTGAAATTAGAAAATTACATATAGCTTTCAAAATATAAAGCAAACAAGGGATGGCTGGGTGTATATGGGCGGTTATATATACAGGAAATGTTTGACTCTCTTGAAGCAGAATGCTAGGTTTCATCAGAACACAGTTTAAAGACTCCTGGGGGAAGTTCACTGTTGGGCAGTTCTAATTGCTGGAAAGTTCCTTCCTGTATCAAAGCTGATTTTTTTTTCCCACCCTAATTCCAACGTTTGAAACCAACTCAGAATAAGTCTCATTTTTCTTCCACATGAGTGATTTTCAAAATGCGAAGTCATCGTCTGCAGTCTTTTGTGAAGTTTTAGTTGTGCTGGGTCACAATAGAAAATGCATATACCCTGAGTCACAGTCAAAATGTTTGAAAGCCACTGTTCTATATGACTATTCTGCAAGAATCTGAAGGCAGTTGTCACACCCCACCACCTAAAGACTAATCTTCTCTGCACGGAACCTCCTTGGCTTTTGCCGCAACTCCTCGCTGCACGGGAGCTCCTTTTCCTCACCGTACCAGGGCATTGACCTATGGTCCTGTCACCAAATTCACAAGACTCTCTGCTCAAACCTTCTTAGGGATGACCTCCCTGACCACCTACTCTTAAGAAGTACCAATCCATCTCTCTCTAGCCCCTCTGCTTTAACTTTTTCAAAGGACTTTTCACTACCCAAGATTATATTGTGTTTATTACTTTACTTGTTTATGATCTTCCCCAATACAAAGTTCATCTCTAACTCTTCAGTCTATTTCCTGGCATATAGTATTTGCTCGATTGGCTGGGCATAGTGGATCACACCTGTAATCCCAGCACTTTGGGAGGCTGAGGGGGAAGGATGGCTTGAGACAGAAGTTCACGACTAGCCTGGGCAACATAGCGAGGCCCTGTCACTACAAAAATAACAATAATAATAATTGTAATGAGAATTTTTTTTTTTTTTTGAGACAGAGTTTCGCTCTTGTTACCCAGGCTGGAGTGCAATGCCGCAATCTCGGCTCACCGCAACCTCCGCCTCCTGGGTTCAGGCAATTCTCCTGCCTCAGCCTCCTGAGTAGCTGGGATTACAGGCACGCGCCACCATGCCCAGCTAATTTTTTGTATTTTTAGTAGAGACGGGGTTTCACCATGTTGACCAGGATGGTCTCGATCTCTTGACCTCGTGATCCACCCGCCTCGGCCTCCCAAAGTGCTGGGATTACAGGCTTGAGCCACCGCGCCCGGCCGAGAAATTTTTTTAAATAGTATTTTCTCCATAAATATTTGTGGAATGAATGAATGAATACTAGAGGTAGGCACATTTTGGTAATAGTGTGTACAGATGTGCTCATAATTCTTTCCTTCAGGAGTTAGATTCTATAAGGACAGCTCACTATAGGCACAGTTTCATTTTATCATCTCATCATTTTTAAAAAACGTTATATATGCTAAGTATTATCACATAATTACATTATACATGTTGCTGTACAGGGTATATCAACATGTGCTAACTGTGTACACGTTCCTTTAGATGGAATATTTTGGATGTCCTGAGTAGTTTCCACTGTAGGCGATTTTTATCTACTCAGTTCTAAGCATCTTGGAAGCAGTTTACACTTTTTCAAAGCACTCTCAGGTAAATAACCCATTCCATAGTTTTCACAGGCTGAGAAAGTGTGTCAGAGAGCCGGAAGGAAATTTAGCGGCGGGCTAGTGGCCACCAGATTCCAATCTCACCCTTTCGTTTTACAGATGGGTAAATCGAGGCCCAGCACAGGGAAGACGTTTGCTGAGGGACACCCCACACGCTGGGGTGGACCTGGGAGTAGAAATCAGACCTTCGGCTTCCATCGACTGCCAGGCACAGAAACCCTGCAGGTGGCTGAGCCAGATGGGTCGGACGCCCTAGCCTCTTGCAGGAGCTCGGTAGAGCAGGCAGACTCCGGTTGCCACCACTTTTCAGGCGGGAACACCGAGGGCACGTCCCGACGAAGGGGCACCTCCCACGGTGGCTTCTTCCCGCCATAGGGCTCCACCTAGCTCGGCCCTGGAATTCCGCACGCACCCGGAGGGCGTCCCGTGCGGTGCGCCGCATCCTCCTCCCCACGACCTCAAGGGCTGGTCCCCCCAGCCGCCACTGCCTCCTACCTGGTCGGGTCCCGGGGGCTGAATCTGGCCAGCCCAACCTCCCGGTCGCTATGGCAACCACAGGCCTAACGTTTGCTAGCCCACCTTCCGCCCTCCGCGGGATGAATCCAGCCAATAGCATCCGCTGTTTCTGCAGCGTGAAAAGTTGTTGACCAATCGTTAGAGGCGTTTCAAAGTCCTCAGAGACACCCGCAGAATTTTAGGGCTTAGGTTAATTGTATCAGGACGTTTGGCGGGGTGGGGAACTAATGGATCTTTATCTAGGTGACGCTTCAAACATCTTGTGATAAACCAAAAGCCTTAGAATTTTGCTCACTCAAAAATCCTGCTTCAAGGAAGATGCCTGAGAATTAACATTCATCCAAGCCCTGCTTCTAACAGCAAAAAAAAGATTGACATGGGCGAATAGACAAGGGCAGCCACTTAATATTTATTCCAGGAACCCCTCTTCACAGGCTTCAGGGCAGGGTGGTCACAGCGATCTTGTCGCTTCCCTGCTTAAAGTCCTCCAATGGCTGCCCTTTAAATTTAGGGTGAAATCCGAGTTTGTTTGTTTTTCGACGGGGTCTCGCTCAGTCGCCCAGGCTGGAGTGCAGTGGCGCCATCTCGGCTCGCTGCAGCCTCCGCCTCCCGGGTTCAAGAGATCCTCCTGCTTCGGCCTCCTGAGTAGTTGGGACCACAGGCGCTGGCCACCACGCCCGGCTAATTTTTAAATTTTTTTGTAGCGATGTTTCCCAGGCTGGTCTCAAACTCCGGGGCTTAAGCGATCCTCCCGGCCTCCCAGAGTCCTGAGATTACAGGCGTTAGCCACTGTGCCGAGCCCCAAACACATTATTTATAAACTGTCCCCTGCCCGTTCCTCAGATCGCAGCCCCAACCGCATCTCCGGAAAAAAATCTCTCACCAGCCCTGCTGGCCTTCGGGCAGTTCCTCCAATGAACCGGCTCCTTCCCTCTCTCTCAGGTTTCCCAGGAGCTTTCTCTGCCCCAGGATCTGAGACCAGAACTGCCTCTTTCTCATTGTTGATGTCTGAGCCCAAATGACATTTCTTCATTTGTAAAACGGGCTTCATGTCTCATTGGTGGCTGTGAGGATCTGAAAGCAAATGCGTGTACACAACAACGTGTGAGCAATGAGAAGCTTTTTGTCGTCTGTAAAGCTCCATGAGCATGTTGATTATCACAGCTGTAATAATTATGTGCATTATGGCAACACTAACCAAGCGCTAGGCTCCAACAGGTGTTCCGAGAGGGCAGGAAAGGAAAGAAATATTTGGCCCCAAGTACTGGCGACGGCTCTAGGGAGAGCTGGGTCTTCAAGGACGTTTTGGATCTGAATACTTGGTGAGGGCGTGTGGCAGGGGAACAGCAGGAGCACAGCCCGGAAGGTGGCTATGAGGTTAAGAAGGGAGGACACCTTAGCAGTCTGCTAAAACCAGGCCCACCTGTCGGACAGGTGAGGGCGAGCAAATCACCTGAGCTCTCTCGGATAGGAAGACCCGGCAGGGGAGTCGCCGCAACATCCTTCCTGTGGCCGCTAGGGGGCCCCCGCTCCAGGTGAGCGCCAAGCTCTAGCCCCAGGTCGCTCCCCTACCCTTCAAGCAAGCTTTGCAGCGCAGCCAATTGCCGGGGGCTGTCCCGCCCATCCCCCCTCCTCGCAGCCACTCGCCTGCGCGAAGTGCCTGCCAACTTCTGACTGGCAGGCGGTCTGGCAAATCAAATCGCGACCTTTGAAAGCAAAACACCGCAGCATCTTGGCAGCTCAGAGTCGGGAAGGGATCAAGGAGGCTGTGCCTCCGGGTTGCACAAAGAGTCCGAGTCATTTCGCAGAAGGTTTCGATAGGTGGGCCTTAGAGGAGACGCCGTCGGTGAGTAGCGATTAACCGTGGGAGGAAGGGGAATTGAATTTAGCCTTAGCTTTTTTAAGGAAAAAGCGAAGTCACCTAACGTCCCCTAGTGTACATACCCTACCTTCTTGCTGCCTCGTCAACCTGGGTCCCGTTGCCTCAGAATGCTCTTTCCAGTTTTGCATCGAGACTAAGAGGAACGGGGGCGTGGGCTACCTTAATAAAGGTGATGCCAGGCTCCACCAAACCAGGAAGTGACATGGAGTAACTTTGCCAGAATTTCTCCTCTTCGTGCCGAGCGGCTCGGGCTTCCTGGCGGCAGCAGATGGTGGAGTTAGCAGGTGGAATGAGGGGAGGCGATCTTGGTCTGAGCCCGCTTCTGGAACAGAGGTGCTGTCTCCTCGAGTCGTAGAGTTTCCAGCTCAGTGGGAGGGGACGGAAGAATGTAACCATGGGAAGGTTGGCAGGGAACTGGCGCTCACCTCCAGAAGCCAGACCGCAGGTGGTGGGGAAGAGCGTGTTTTACTGATTTGTTCGGGAAAAGGCAAATTCGAATACAGACCTTACCCTGAGCGGCCGTGAGCCCTGCTCTGTCATCTGTAAAACGTGGTCTGGGGAACTGGTGGAATCCGTCATCGAGATAAACGGAGGGTGGATGGAAGCAAAGCACCTAGTGAATTCTCATTCCTTTCGCCTGCTTTAAGTGTGAAGTGGCGGACAACGCAGAGCTGACCGCTTGCCTCTGGGCATGTGTAGGTCCTGGAGAAGTGCTTGGAAACCGGGAAAAGAGAGTCACAGGCGAAGAATGTGTGTCTTACAAGGGAATACAGCTTGCAAAGGGTTCCTCCAGGCTTTCAGTCCGGACTCCTACCCAGCTGAGGGAGAAGTAGACTCCTACCCTGCTGTCTTTGCAGACGATGCCCCGGAGGCCTGGGAGTTTCCGAGGCAGAGAGGGAAGCTGCTTTTTAAAAGAAAAAATAAACCGCAGCAATGCCAAGCACTACTAACAAAAGGCAGACCAGAAAAGCACTTGGGCAAACTCACTGGTCTAAAGGATGTTAGGTGGCCTGGCTTCCCACCATCCCCTTGACCGACATGTCCCTAGGGTCTGTTGGTTTTCACTGACCTCCTGAGGGTCGGGCTGAGTGTATCTGTTTGTTGGCACTCTGCAGTTGTGGTTGATTAGGCCTTAGTAAGGCATTCTTGACTGTGAAGTGGCCACAGCGCACCAGGTTCTTAACTGGCCTGTATTTAGGCAGTCGGCTGTTATGTATGTAAGTCACTGTCAGGCTTGGGGCTAGATCTCAGCTGGGAGCAACCGAAAGGGTATTCCACAAACACCTCACTGGAGTTTGCACTCCTGTGCCCCCTCAACTCCATGACTGCTTCGTGGTTGAATGCTTCCCAGGGCCTCTCAGCGGTAGAAAGAGCCCTGAGCCACTCTTAAGGCGCTTATGATTATTAAAAATGCTTACAACAGTTTTATAGAAATTTAACACAATAATGCTTTTCATGTGCACATGAAAGTATAGTGAATAATTATGCTTTCCACAAGACTGCAAACACATATTCACAGGGTTTTGCAGTCAGGGAAGGCTAGTTGTGGGATGTGAATTACCTGATGAAGTTACCTGATGAATGCAAACATCTCCTGTCTGTACACTGGCTATATAACCTTGTCTGCAGGTAGTAGCAATGATTTCATCCTGGGGCCCTTTGACAAAGTGAACCAGGCCAAATGGTTTCTGTAGCTATCCCTGTGCTAAACCTGCATCTGTTGTTTCTTAGTACTGGACATGGTGTTTGCCTTAAGACCTGTGCGTGTGCTGTTTACACCATGAACCAGAATTCCTGGGCCTAGGGCTGAATAGCAGAAGAAATTGGAAGCTGCAGGATACATAGGTGGCAGCTCCCTGAAGCCTCAGGTAGTGGCAGAAATTGTTGAGCTCACAGTGAGCCCTCAGCAAATATTTGTTGAATGAACGCATGAGAGAGAAAGAAATGAGCAAAACAAATGATTAAACAGAGGAGAATACAATTCATCCTAATAGCAGCTCACATTCATCGACCATTTGCTATGCCTGCATTTTACATGTATTATTTCATCAAATTTTCATAACTGCCATGTGGGGTGGGAACATTATGATCTGCATTTTACAGCTGCAGAAACTGGCTGAAAAGTTAAATGACCTGGCAGAATAAAACAGGTAGCATGTAGCACATCAGAAGCAATTTAAAACCTTTTTTTGCTATTAAAATAAACATAAACCATGCAGTACAATACATTTAAATATATATATATATATATATATACACACACACAAAGTCCTCAAAGAAACCCCTAACACTTTTAAGTAGGGTTTTGGCCATGCCTCCGAGAACACTGGGCGTGTACTTTCTCTTCTCTGTTTGGTAGAAAAGTTTTATAAGTGGCACATACCTGTAATCCCAGCACTTTGGGAGACTGAGGCAAGTGGAGCTTGAGCCCAGGAGTTCAAGACCAGCCCGATAACATGGCTAAACTCTGTCTCTACAAAAAAATTAGCCAGCCGGTTAAGGCCATGTTCATGCCACTGCACTCCAGCCTGGGTGACAGAGTGAGATTCTGTCTCCATAAAAAAAGGAAAAGTTCGAGAAGCACTGAAAGTATTAAGTCCAATGAAATTAACAGGGATTATCATCATTGCTAGGTTTATTTGAAGCCACATTGTTACCCCCGCTTTACAGATGAGGCAGCTGGATCTCTGAGAGGCAAAGTCACCTGGTCACACAGGTTTTCTACCTCTGAGACCAGTGGCTCTTCACCTGTGTCAGGTCAACCCTCGGTACCAGGCCAGTTCTAACGTCTTCCATGGAAGTAACTTTTCTTTGGATTCTTTTCTTCCTAAGGTGAAACTTACATGGTTCCCTTTTTGTGGTAGTGGAATTTTTTTTTTTTTTTTTTGAGACCTGGATAAGTAGACATGGTTAGTATTCTACTTCTTGTGCTCAAGAGCTATGGGAAAAGGGAGGATTTAAGTTAGGATGCAATGGGAGGAAGGAAGCAGAGGAGAAGAGGAAAGAGGGTATTTGAGAGCCAGGGAGAAAGCTTTGGAGATAGAGGAGTCACGTTTTTATTAAGGGGCGGACAAAAAAGCCTGATAGATCTTGTTTTTAACCCCTAGGATTTGGATTTTGAAGAATTTGTTAAATGGCCTCACTTGTCATGGCCAGTTATGCTTTGTCTGAATGGTATTCTCTCCTCAGGTAACAAAGCTGGGCTCAGTGTTTCCTAGTCCATGCATTTTTAATGTTCCTCTCCAGCACCCTAGAGCACTGCCAGAATTGGAAAACACACCTCTCTCTGTCTGCCTGGGAAACACTGAAATTGACACTTCTCTGAGTGAAGCTGAGGAGAAGGCTGTAAATCAGCCAGAGGAGCCTGGAAGTACTCTTTTGGCGTGAGGAAGAGATGGCTGCTGGAGGGAGGTGAACACCACGAGGAGAGATGGCATCTAGCCTGCGCCCCGCCTAGCAGCAGCTCCAGCTCCTGAGCCAGGCCCGGCACGATGAGCCGCTAGACCACCATGGACGGAGCCCACAGCGCAGCCCTGCAGCTGCAGCAGCTGCCTCCCACAAGCAGCGCCAGCGCCGTGAGTGAGGCCTCCTTCTCCTACAAGGCAAGGGCTTTTGTTGGGTTTGGGAATTTGTATTTTTCTAACAAGAAAGTTACGCAGTGCTCTGCACTGGCTTATGGGGTCTGCATGCCTGTCACTGGCAGAAACAGGCAGGCCCTTCACACAGACAAGGGAATGTGTATTCCAGAGAAAAGAGAGGCTCATTGAAATACATAAAAATAAGGAGGCAGAGGCTGGGCGCAGTGGTTCTCACCTGTAATCCCAGTTCTTTGGGAAGCTGAGGCAGGTGGACCTCCTGAGGTCAGGAGTTTGAGAGCAGCCTGACCAACATGGAGAAACCTCATCTCTATGAAAAATGCAAAATTAGCCAGGCATGGTGGTGCATTCCTGTAATCCCAGCTACTCGGGAAGCTGAGGCAGGAGAATCACTTGAACCTGGGAGGCCGAGGTTGCAGTGAGCCAAGATCACGCCATTGCACTTCAGCCTGGGCAACAAGAGCGAAACTCCATTCCTAAATAAATAAATAAATAAGAAGGCAGAGAACCACCATAAAAGGTAGGGAATAAAAGGAATGCATTCCCACTTAGATTTGATTTTTTAAAAATCATGTACTCTGGGCTGGGTGTGGTG